AATTAATAAAATCTATTATATTTTATTTATAATATTTTTGAAAAATAAAGAACTAAAAATCAAAATAACTTTTAATTGTAATCATAACAATAAAACCGTAATATTTTACACAATCCCAAACACAACTTAAGTCAAGCAAAAGCTATTAGGCACGGTTGGTGTATAAAAATTAAGCAAAATTTTATGTTGAGTTGTTAAATTAGATTTTAATATTAGACTTGGATCTTTATGTCGATCTTATGTGGGACCCGTGCCATGGTTTAGTATTAATTACTAGAGGTATTCATATTCGATTAATCAAACATAAACTGATCCGATCTAATCAAAAATCGATCCAAACTGATATAAAATTGGGGTGGTTTGAATTTTAAAATTTTAAAACCAATATAATTAGTTTAGTTTATGGTTTTACTTTCAAACTGTCTAAATTGTTCGATTATAAAATAAAATCCGAGTAGAAGATAATTTAATTAAATAATATAATATATTTTTTGTAGTATTTTAAATTTTTTTTTCTTATTTTACAAGATTATAATTCCATTAATTTAATTAAAAAAATAAAAATAGAATATTTTTATATTCCCTAAGTTATTTCTCCATTTTAATCATGCACTCTAACCTTAATTCTAAAATCTTAATTCACCTACAATTTTATCCTCTTAAAACTAGTTTGCGCCTTTACTCTTACAACCTTAAATTTCAAATTTATTTTTAAAATAGTCTTATAATTTTCCTAACTAAGTTTTAAATAAGTATCATTCTAAAAATCTTAAAATTATATAATAAAATTAGTCTTAATATTCAACTATTCGTAGATATTTGGTTTAAAAGTTTTAAATTTTGATTTTGAATGTTTCTAATCAATTTTAGTAATATTCATGTTAAATGTTATTAACTTTTAACAGGATTTAGAAAATGTGATTAAATTATTAGTGTATTAAGAAAAAAATTAATTTTAACCTTCAAAAATTATTTACGTTGTACTAAAAATTTGAAGTTATTTTTTTATTGTTTTTGGGGTCATTAGTGATGTAACTAGGAAGAATTTTTAGAGTTTTTCAATTTTTATAAATATAAATGAGTATAAGAATTCGTTTATAATTTTTACTTTTTATTATGTTTTTACTGATTTGAATGTTAATGTATTTTATAGTTATACTTTCTATTTAATGTTAAAATATTTTTACATTATCTTATATATTTAATAATGTTAAAAACAAATCAATTCGACCAAACCACACCGATCCAATTTAAATTGGATTGGTTTAGTTATCACATAATAATGGATTGAAATGATTTAAAAATTTTATTAACCAATTAAATTGAATTGATTTAAAAAATAATAAAATCCGAACCAAACTACACCGCGAAAACCCTTCGGGAAAACCCTTATTAATTACTTGTACTATTTGATGCTTAGGGATATCAACGGGTGAGAGACAATTGGGCTTTGATCCACGCCGTTGATCAGGGCAACAGGGCCAATGTCCCTAAACTCGGACTATTGATCTCCTACGACTGAACTCAGGTGGAGCCTCCAGTTCAGCGCCATTTGGTTCCTATTTATATCCTTCTCTCGTCGAGACTCGATGGTTATCTTTACGGCTTCTTATACCCTTTCTCAACTACCATGCTGCTCATTTCCTTTCGTCTTAACCTTCTCCACGGCATATCCATCTTCCCCACAAAGAAAAAATGGGCCTAGGTGCAACAAGTTCGGATCCGGATATTTTGTACTTTGAAGCTTTCTTCTGTTTATGTTCCCCTCGATTTACAGTCAGATTTGCGTGTATTGATGTTTTTGGATCTGGTTATGATTCATGTCATATCTTGATTTCCGTTTCAATATTTTTTTTTTTTGAACCTCCTGAAAATTGGAATTCCGGTTCAATATTATGTCGTTAGTCTTATCATTTTATAAGATCTGAGATTCAAAGGAGATAGATCTTGATTTGGGGTTGTTGATTTGGTTTGTGTTTGGTTTTCAGTTATGATGGGGCTGTCTTTTGCGAAGCTGTTCAGTGGGCTTTCTGCGAATTCTTATGGTGAGTCTTCATGCCGCTGGTGAGACCGCCGTTCTGTATAAGCTCAAGTTTGAAGAGATAGTGAGTACTATTCCCATAATTGGTATGTTCTTTATCTGTTTTTACGAATAATACATTTAGTTGTTTATGTGTTGTTTGATCACTAATGATCTTTCTGTTTTGCCTTCTTTTACAGGGTGTAATGTGGAGACTGTGGAGGATAAGAACATCAGCTTCGCCGTTTTAAATTTTCTTTATTGTTTCGGCCCAGGTTCACTTCTTTTGCTAGTAACTCTTACTTATTAAGCTTCTTTGATTTTAATTTTGTAAGTTCATGATCAGTTAAGGGTTTTAGTGTCTCGATATTTTCTGTAAATGGTCAAAGATCTTGATGACCATGCAAATCAATCAATCCTGGGTATGATGAAAGATTCTTCCTTTTTGTCAATTGAAAGAAATTAATGATCTGGATCTGCTGTTTTTAATACAGGAGCATGGACGATCATAGAATAGAGATATCATCTAACGAGGAAGAGGGTAACCGAGAACATGCATCGGGGACACCATCCATCATGGAAAACGAAGCCGGGGATTCAACTTCATCCAAGGATTCCATCTTCAGAATTCCAGGCTTGTTTAAAATACGTAATGAAGAAGCTTATAAGCCCTATAAATTTTCAATTGGTCCCTGGCATGTCGGTAAAACACAGATGTTGCGCTCGGGACAAAAATTGAAAGAGTCCCTTCTTGAAAAACTCATTAATCGTTTCCCAGATCCAGCAGCAAAGAGGAGCGAGTTGAAAAATACCATAAAAAAGGAGCGTGACAAGGCTAGAGATTGTTACGAGGGAGGGTGTGTTGATGTTGAGGGAAAAGATATAAATGTGGCCGAAGAAGAATTTGAGGAAATCTTGCTACTGGATGGTTGCTTCATTATCGAGTTGTTCCGCAAGCATGATGAATTGTTCAGCAAGGATGTTGAGCAGGTATCCATACAAGAAACTGGGTTTCCAGACTTATTAACGGGTATGATTCATGTCATTTATCACGACCTATTATTGTTAGATAACCAAATACCTTGGTTTGTGCTTGAGCTCTTGTTTAACGAGACCAATGAGCACCTTCCACGCAGGAATTCGACTTTGGTTGGGCTGGCCGGAAAATTCTTTAGACATGTTTCTTCTTATGAACCTCAAGAACTGCAAAGGCTTCTATCAGGGCACAATTCAGGAATTATACACCTGGTTGATTTTCTGTGGCGTTTCTGGAATGTCTCATCAGAAAAGGGACGAATAGACTTTGAGTTTTTGGATTATGGGACCCTTATTCCATCTGTCACCAGACTTAAAGAGGTGGGAGTCAAATTTCAAAAAGCCGAGTCAAGAAACATCTTGAATGTAAAATTTAAGAACGGTGTCCTCGAAATCCCACCTTTGACGATTACTCCATCGACAGAAACCATCTTCAGGAACCTCATCATCTTTGAGCAATGTAGCCTTCTTTGCACGCCAAGGGTGACAAGTTACGCCATACTCTTAGATTGCCTGGTCGACACCTCAGATGATGTGCATTTAATGAACAGAGAAGGAATTCTTGAAAACACGTTAAACCCTGAGGAAACGGCTAATTTCTTGAACAGAGTCCGTGATAACGCTTTGACACAAGAGCTCTTTTATGCACGACTTCGCAAAGATGTCAACGAATATTGCGAGAAGAGCTGGCCGAGATGGCGAGCTTCTTTGATCCATAACTATTTTACTAAGCCATGGGCTATCGTTTCTGTAGTTTTTGCCACGATCGTTTTGTTTTTCAC